TCAAGAATAAATGTACGGGTGCTTATAATATTAAATTATCGCGGGACGAACGAAAAATCGGATAAATCGGAGGAAAAGCTCGATATCAGGACGGAAACGTCTCATTGACAAATTGTTTTCCTTCGGTATCGACTGTTCGGTGGCCTGCAGGGAGCAGAAGAGCGGAAGACGGAAAAATATTTTTGTTTGCACATAGTAGAAATGAAACGATACGATTTTATTTTGACACAAACCGGAGAACCAATTCTCTCCGCTATCAATAATAATCTTTTTCGATCGCAAACATTCGACTGCTTGACAGGGAAAGAGGGGTGGAAATGTGCGAGAGAGCGATGATCGAATCGAATTAATTTCTTTTTCATTTTTTTTTTTTTTTTTAAACGCGTTATTTCACGCTTGTTAAACGCGTTAATATTTTTTTTCTTGGCTCCCTATACACGGGATATCGTCCCTCGTATTTCTCTCTCTCTCTCTCTCTCTCTCTTCGAGAAATCCCATTGGAAATCCTTCAAATATTCGAGGATGGTAAAATGGTGAAACGCGAAGTAGGAATCCGTTCTTGGAAGTCGGAATGCCGAGAAATCGCTGTTCAGGCTCAGTCGACGTAGATGTGAAATTGGATTGAAGATCTGCGCTCGATGTATAGGAAACGCGGTTCCACCGAACGTTCGTACCCATATCACCGTGTAAATTGTTCACGAAAACTTCTTATTATCCGATTCGATAACGATAAACACCTGACTCTCTGTGCTTATATACGTTTAAATATAAAAGGACACGTTTCGAATTAATTCTTAAAATAGATATTAAAATTATATATATATATACATATAATATTCGCTATATCAAATATTTTACAATACTCTTTCTCGTATTCGAATATCGAGCGTAATAACGAATTTTAATTTTTATTTAAAAACGCACAAATGAAAACGAAAACGAAACTTGGGAATCGATCGATTTCACTTTTCTTCTTATTCGCATCGAATTAGACAATGGAACGACGGAAAGCATCCATCCAATGACGTCTTACGACGTCTCGGGTATCGAGATGGGCGGCGGAGGGAGAGGTGGGAAACCGGGGTGACTAGGAG